CGAAGGGCGGCAGGACACGCTGTCAGGACGGTCGCGCCGCCCCTGCCTCTCGACCCTCCGTCGCACTCGGTTGTCTCAGCCTGGGTCTGTCATCGTTCCCTGTCTCGGACCCTCGCCGTCTCCCTTCTCGCTATAAGCGTCTGCCTTGCTGTCGGACCCTCGCTGTCTCCCTTCTCGCCGTGTCTGCCTTGCTGTCCCTCTCGTTATCTCTGTCTCTGTCCCTCCAGGCTGACAAGCCACTGGAGGGCGCCTAACACCAGTGAATGGCCCCAGGGTCCCCTCCCCGCTGCCCCTTGGAGCCTTACTTGGGGCAGACCTAATCCCCAGCGTTCTGGGACAGAGGGGCTCTCGGCAATGCCTCTTCTCCCCGCAAACCCTCCCTCACCCCTCGCTGGCCCCCACCAAGAGCAGGACTGAGCAGGTGCCGGAATAGAGAAGTCGGATCCTTTGTTTTTCAATCAGGCTGCTTTATTCTTTTGTAGTAGGAGTCCCCAGGCCCACAGAAGCCACCTCTCCTCTGCCCCCTCCCATCCTCTCTGGCAGCTCCCTTCCTCCAGAGCCAGCCCTTTGGGTGTGGGCAGGATCCTGTCTGCAAAAGATCCTTTGCGTGAGAATCTTTTCTCTCCTCTGTGGCTTCCACAGACGCTGTGAAGCAAAGGAATGTTGTTTATCTGAGGAGGGAGAGGGTCTGGGAAACCATCCACCCACCTGCCTGCCTAGCAGCGTGTGCCTGAACCTTCCCTCCCCTGTGCTCCCCCAGATCACCAGCTTCAGGGGTCCCCCATTGTCTGGACAGTTGACACGGCAGGTGACCCAAGCCCTCCTCACTACTGCTTGGGTGCCCTGGCAGCTGCACCTGCTCGCCTTGGAGTCCTAGATGTAGTAGAGTGGCACCTCTCCGCACAGGGTGCGCACGGCAAGGCCCAGGAAAGCCAGGTCTTCTCCTAGGGAGGCTGCAGAGCCATCTTCACGTCCCTCCTCCTGGCCGGGTTCAGAGCCAGGTGTTGCAGGCTTGCCCTAGAAAGAGCACTGACTCTGCAGTCTGAGTTTCTGCCTTCCCTGCAGCCCTCATTGTGAGACACACATCACCCAACCTCCATGAGACTCGGGGTCCCAGCCAATGCTGTGTCAGAATCAGAAGCCACAGGTGGCACAGGAAGGTGTGGTACAAGTCAGTGTAGAGAAGGCACTCACCTGGCAGCCCTGAGAGGCAGTGCTTTACAAAGAGCCATCATCTGAAACCTCCACAGCCCTGGGAGGGAGACAACCCACTCCTTTCACCCACACACCCACCTGTAAATTCTGGAATTTTCTAGTGAGGGCCTCAAGACTAGGGATGCTCTCTGGAGCCATCTTCATGATATAGCAGCAGGTTCCCGGGGCAGGCTTATAGGCGGTCAGAAGCTGGGCAGGGAAGGCTAGAGGTCATTCCAGGAGGCCCCCCTTAACCCTGGTCCTCACCACTCTCTAGGTTGGGCATGGAGTCACATTAGAGTTGGATTCGGGCATGCTGTGGTAGGCAAAAGGGCGAAGGGATGGAGAGAGATGGGTGCTATGAAGTGGCCCAGCTGGCGCCCCTAGGAATGTCTTGTCATCAGGCCCCAGGTCAGGAGGTCCAGGCATACCCACCCTCTGGTAGTCGTACACAACCATGCCAGTGGAGCCGATGGGGAAGGTGGCCGTGGTACCCATGTGCTCACTCAGGGCCAGGCGCTGCTGGGCTCCCGGCGCCCCAATGCTCATCTCGAGAACCTGGGTTGGGGCAGAGTGGTGCCTTTGCCCTCTTGGTCCTTCTGTAGCTTTGCCCACCCTCATTTCCTTTAAATTAAATGGAATTGGGGCTGGAAATTTGGCTCAATGGTTCTGCTGCCCGCCTTGCAACTGCAAGGGCCCGAGTTTGATCCCCGGTACCAAAAAAATAATAATAAATAAATAAATTAATTAATTAAATGGAATTTCTTCTTTCCTGAGAGCTCAGGGAGGTGAGCAGAGCCAGGAGCTGGAGGAAATGGGTTGTCACACTGTGGAGCCAGGGACTGCTAGACAGGTCCAGGCCAGGTTGCCATGCCATTCCTGCCTCTGGCCTTCCAAGCTATGAAACGGATCTGTCTATTCCCCTGGCTGGTTTCCCGCCGTGTGGCCTCCCGCACTCACTGCCCAGCCCCATCCAGGCCTGCTCACCATCTCAGTGTGTTTCTGGCTCATGTGAAGACCCATGAGCAGGGCCCCTACAATCACCACCACCACAAGGACGACCACCACGACCACGATGAGAAGGCGTTTGAGGTGCACTGGGCAGCAGGGGATGCCAAACCGGCCCCGGGGAGCTGCTGAGTAGTCCTGAGGAGGTGGGGCAGCCGGGGACACAAGCATGAGGCCCATGCATGCAGCCCCTCGGTGTGGCCTCCCCTTGCCCACTGCCCACCCCCTCCCGTCCCTGCCCAGCTGGAACCCCCCCGGCCCCTCCTAGGGCTGTACAGCCAGGCTGTGGACACATAGAGGAGGGTTCAGGAGATCTGAGAAGCTTCTTGGAGGGGTTGCCTGGATTCCAACAGACCCAGAGATGCCTGCAAGTGAGGTTCTTGGTGTCCCCATCCTAACAGCACAATCCTAGGCTAGTTGAGCAAATGACTTTGGATAAGGAAACAGGTCCAGGAAGAACAGAGGAGGCAAGCCCCAGCACACTCACACACACCACCACTCACCGGTGGGCTCTCCATCAAGACTTCTTTGCTACCCACATCCATCTTGCTGTAGGCTCACTCCTGTCCTCACCCTCCAGGCGTGACTAGGGTCTTATATGTGTCCAGAGGGAGGGGACAGAGGTGAAGGACCAGGTTTCTCGTGTGCCAGCCAAGCCCTTGGCTTTGAAGCCTGTTTGTTCCTGGCCCTCCAGAGCCAAGGCCCTGATAAGCCAGCTGCAAGAGCCCCCAAGGGCCCTTGGCCTTGGCACATGAGTCCTCTTGGTCCCAGCAAGAGCAAAGTTGGGTGAGCTGAGCAAACTTGCCCTTAGGCCACCTGCAGCCCTCACTGTGGGTGTCTTCCTGGCATGCCTGTCTTTCTTGCTGGCACCTGCCCTGCAGCCCTGTGGCTTTCTTCTTCTACCAGGCCAAACCTCTCTCTCAGGCAGCTGAGAGTCTGACTGTCCCATTCCCAACAGAACGTCCCCAAGCTTAGGGACAAGCTCCAGGAAGAAGGCAGAGGAGCAGTGGCTGTAGACCCAGAGAGGGCACAGCTGAGCGCACAGCAGGGACATGGACATCACTTGGAAGGGGGGTCCATAAATGTGCATTTCTGTGAGAGGGTCAGATTCCTCTTTACCTTGCCTCACCTCTCCCTACGCATCCTGAAGCTAACCTCAGACTTGTTCCCCGTCCTTCCTTTCCTAATTCTGCAAACTCTGTCCCCTCTAGGGGGAAACTCTTACTCAGAGGTGGACGATGTTTCATCCTTGCTCTGGGCTTGTCCATACACTGAAACATCCTGATGGCAGATTCCTGACACTGCTTTCTTAGGCTGTGACAGCCTGGCACGAGGTGGGGTGTGGCCCCATTCTTCCTGTCCTTAGATCAGCTTATTCATTCCCTGCCCTCCTGTCACCCTTCCCTCCTTACACCCTCTGGTCCGAACTGTCCCTCCCCTCCCTCTGCCTCACCTCTTCCACCCAAGCCAGCTCTCTGTGTTCTAAGTCAAATACGTGGGTTGGCTGTGCCCTTTCCCCGGGGTTCCTTGTCATTGCTGGGCCAGGTGGTCTATAAAGTCCCATCCCCTTTAAACAGCATGAGTGTGTGAGCCAGAGCTGCCCACAGCTCCCTGTCTTGGCTGGATTCCCTTGTCCTTGCAGGCTGCCATCCCTCTTTATCCCCAGGGACTGGTTCCAGCCACCGCCTTCCCCAGTGGACACCAAATCTATAGATGCTCAAGTCTTTTACATAAAAGAGTAGAGAGTCTGTACAGACAACCTGCACACAATGCTTTCAATTACCTCTAGATGACTTATAATGCCTAGTACAATGTAAATTGTATGTAAATAGTCATTATACTATATCGCGTAGGGACTCATGACAAGGAACAAAAGTCTGTACATGTTCAGTAATTTTCCCCCCAATACTTTCCATGTACTTTTGGCTGAATTGGCAGATGTAAAACCCACGGATACAGAAAGCCAGCTGTACTTCAACCCTAAAATGTCACCCCAATGCCTGTCCTCAGTCCCAGGCTCCTCACACCTTGTCCCTGCCCTCTGATCACGAGCCAGCCCTGGCAGGCTCCGCCATCCCCCCAGGACCCTCTCCAGCTGGCGGTCGTCAGCCTCAAGGTTGTACAACAGCCTGGCCTCTGAGCTGAGAGCCCCTGAGAAGCTCAGGGGAGGAGAGAGGGAAGGAAATGTTTGCTCCCACTATCCTCCTTGGCCCCCTCAACTGCCCTTTAAATATTTGCCAAAGCCTCCAGCAGGGGAAAGTGTCCCAGGATGAGAGGAAGAACGGGAGGGGTGCAGGAAGGAGGGAAGGTGGAGCAAGCCTCCGCCTCTCAGCTCAGCCTCAGCTGTGTGCAGGTGCCAGATGCAGAAGACAGCCTCGCCACTGCCACCGGCGCTGCCCCGTGCCCGCCCCCAGGCTCCCTCCCCCATCCCGGTTGTCCTGGCAACCTTGGGATTGATGGCTGACTCACAGCACTGGGCCTGAGCCAGGTGGGCAGCTGGCCAGCGGGAGAGCCAAGGAGAATCGCAGGCATCGCGGGGTCCCTGTGGGGATCTCAGGGGGCCGCAGTGTCCAGCCGTGGGGCTTACACTGAACAGGTGTCAGGAATTGGGCTTGCCATTATGGCTTCCTATGGGAGAGGAGTTCACTTCTCCCTCTGGTCCTTAGTCTCCCCTGCAAGCAGCAGCTCTCAAGGCCTTGTAAAGGGTGCTGCCGCTGCAGCTGCTGCTGCTGCTTTTTTAAAACTTGCTTTGCTTAGGGGCTGGGGAAGGGTGCTGTTAAGTTGCATAAATGAAGTTCAGAGGTTGGCAGCACCTGACGGAGATCTTGGGCTCCTTGAAGGAGGAAGGAGGTGGAGGATGGGAGCCCATTAGGTGGTCAGGCACAGCTCCCCTCCACCTCTCCCCCAGCCTTGCTCTCTGCTGAAACCTTCTTGTCACTTCTGGGCCTTTGTTATGTCATTTCTCTCTGAGCACCACCCGCCCTAAAAAGCCAAGAGCATGGCACCTGCTCCGTGACCTCACCACCCCAGCCCACAGCGCCTTCCGCCTCCTCTCTCCTGCCTGCTGCACACTCGAATGCCGTGTTTCACACGCAGAGGTTCAGGTCAGCTCTGGGGGGCTTTTGGCTGCCCTGGCTTCTCGAGCAGGCTGCCATCGTGGGAGGGAAAGGAGTGTACTCTCCTGTGCTACCACAAGCCCACCTCAGGGCAAGGAGTGTGCACTCCACCGCATGCAATTATATTCAGCAACAAGACTGTCGCTAAATGGGCGTAGGCTCCTGCTGGGTGCTATGTGCAGGTCTCAGTGCTTCTGCTGGTGGCTCTGGGACCCAGAGTGAGTCACTCTGCTTTTCTGTGCTTTACTGTGTGGCTCTGTGACAGGGGATGACTTCGGCCTGTCTGGTCCACCTCACTAAGCTTTCAGGAGGCTCCAATGACATGGCGATGGGAACGTGTAGTCTAGCTGTTATCAGCACTTCCTCCATCCCCAGGGCACCTCTCACTAGCTCAGCAGAGGACCCCAAGTCCCTTGTCTATATGCCTTCCGGTTATCCTCTCTGAGAACTGCGGGTCCTACAGAGCCCCACCATGGCGGCCACCACTCCTGTGCCTCCTCCTCCTCCTCAGCTGCACGGGTTGGGATGAGATTCTCTCTGCTCTTTGTGTGCCAGGCAGAGCTGTGCCAGGGACCAGTGGGGACAGTTGCCCAGCTGCCCTCCCCGGCCACCCTCCCCACTCCCACTGATTCCCTTCCCTTGAGCTGGCATGGAGAGGGCAGCGCAGGCGGCTGGATGGGCAGTGACAAGCGGGCATCAGTCAGCAGGGGCATCCCTGGCTGGGGGAAGTGGAGCAGACTCCCTGCTACGGGAGACTGGGGACAACGGGAACGCATCTTCAGCCCTCTCTGTTTCCAGGGCTTGTAAGGACACAGTAGCACCAGTGTGGACAGAACACACTGCTAGAAGCCCACACTGACTTCCAGGCTTTCCGACCATCCTCCCTGTCACCCACCTCCAGAAATGACAAGATACAGACTAGCAATTCTCAACCCACTTGGTCTAGGACCTTTGAATGCTCCTAAGTATAGAGTCCCCAAATAACTTTTGTTTATGTAGGCTAAATCCATTGATATTTACCAGATTAGTATTTACTGAGGCATATTAAAATATTTATTTATGTAGACCTGGGTGTGGTGGTACACAACTGTAATCCCAGCATTCTGGGAGGCTGAGGCAGGAGGATGAAAAGTTCCAGACCAGCCTGGGCAGTTTAGCGATTTACCAAGACCCTGTCTCAAAAGAAAAAAAAGAAGAGAAGGGGAGGGGACTGGGATATAGCAGCTCAGTTCCAAGGTTCTGGGTTCAACCTAGTATTTCTTTGCCAAGAAGTTAGAAAAAAGTACCACAGTTTTTGCAAATCTCTTTTACTTAATAGAAAACACTGTGTAGCCTCTGGAAAATTCCAGGGTACTCTTGTGAGAGCATGAAAGTGAAAAGGCAAATAATGTCCTCATATTAGAAAAAGTATTTTGACCTTGAAGGCTCTGTGAATGCCTCTCAAAGACCAGGGGCTGCCCTGGCTTGAGGGACCGCTGTGAACTCCAAGATGGACTCCTGGTCCTCGGGCCATACTTTGCTTATCTGTGAAAGGAGTCAAGATCACTTCTCCAGAAAGGGCAGGGAGTTACCTCTCCCCATTAGAGCACACAGTGCAGATAGCAAACCTGTCTGCTTTCCCCTTTTCCAGGCCTCAGTTCCCTCCCCTGCAGAACGAAGGGCGGGACTGGACGCACCCAGGTGCTTCCTAGCTCTGACGGGCTGGGCTGCCCAGAGAACTGGTCCAGAATCCCATGCCTTCCAGTGCGTGTCCCATTTCAGCTCCCAGACGCAAAGGGACATTTTCTTTGGTGGCTGTGGAAACACGTGAGGAGCTTCCGATCTCGCTTGCCGCCTAGATGCACCTGTCACTTGACATGACCTATCCCCTCGCCTCCAAGAGGTGCACACAGGGGCTGGGAGGCACAAGATGCATGTGCCCGGCGCACAAACAGGTGTGCTCACGCGCGCAGTCATCCAGTGCACACAGGCGCGGGAACGCGCGCACACCCCCGTGCATTGGGCGCCCCTGAGCCCCGGGGACAGGGCAGCTGCACAAGGCAGATAGACACTTGACATGACCTATCCCCTCGCCTCCAAGAGGTGCACACAGGGGCTGGGAGGCACAAGATGCATGTGCCCGGCGCACAAACAGGTGTGCTCACGCGCGCAGTCATCCAGTGCACACAGGCGCGGGAACGCGCGCACACCCCCGTGCATTGGGCGCCCCTGAGCCCCGGGGACAGGGCAGCTGCACAAGGCAGATAGAGA